ATTGGGGATATGGAGAATTAGGGATTTTACAATAGAAATAGGGGAGGAGAATGACGTGTCGCTCCACATCATGTTTTGCCGGCCAAGTAGGCACTGGGTGTTGAACAGCTCGACATTTAACGGCCACATAGACGTCACGTGAGCCACGCGTGCAATTTTCGCGAAGTTAGCTGCCGACGTTAACGGCAGAACATAAAGTGATCAAAAGTGGCAAGTTTAAGGACATATATAGCGGATTGAAATGTTTGGGGACATAAATCGTTTTAGTGGTAAAGTTTAGGGACATAAACTGTAATTTTCCAGAAAATTAACTATAAAAATTTAATAGTTAGCTATAAATTGTGATAGTTAACTACTAAATTATAGTAGTAAATAATCATTATATACCATAACTTTAAGACCAAAACTCACCACCCTCAAATTATTCAACCATCGACAAGTAATTCCAACACTTTCAAAATTACGCCCAAAGTCCCAAACCATCTCAACTATAATATTCTTCTACTTTGCTATAAAATTGTGTCAGTCAACTACAAAATAGTGAAAGTTAACTATGAAATTTTAATAGTTAGCTATAAATTGTGATAGTTAACTACTAATTTATAGTAGTCAATGATCATTTCAGTACCATAATTTTACAACCAAAATTCACCACAGTTAAATTATTTATCCATCGGTAAGTAATTCCAACATTTTCACAATTACGCCCAAAGTCGCAAATGATCTCAATAGTCTGAAGCATATGGATATACCTTCCTTGTAAATTCAATTTCCCTAAAAAAACAAATTTCCACAATACAACTATCACTAGCCGTAATTTTCCTTGAAAATTTAGATCTGAGCCAATGAAATGAGCATAAGGCTCCGAGACAATAATGCAAGACCCTGGAAAGAGCATTAAGAAAGAGCGGCGGCAGATGCTGCTTCGTCAAAAAACAGATCTGAACGTTTCATTGTTACTAGCTAGGCCGGGTGACCCAATGGTAGCCATTAAGATGCGTCGGCTATGGATCTGTTAATTTTGGTAGAGAAGTCGATTTTAGTAGAGAAGAGAGACAGAGCAAATGATTCGAGAGAAAGAAAAAAAAAGAGAAATAAAAAGAGGCGTATCAAGGAAGAGAGGGGGGGCAGATATATAGTGAATGAGAGAAAATAGGGAAAAAAAAAAAACGTAAAAAATATAAAAAGAGGGGGAGGAGAGAGAAAGAGAGGGACAGTTGATGAGAGAGGGGGAAGAGAGAGAAAGAGTGGGAGAAGAAACGACAAAATTGGAATAATAAACACGTGAGGGGGTCTCACAATTCCTAATGTTAATTTTAGATTTCTTTACAAATAGTGAATATTAAAATGGGTCTGTACTCTATTATTTTGTGTATTGACAGGACTATCCCTCATTTATCCTATTATTTATTACTTTATTTTTCTAAACAATTGAAATGTAAATTCTAACCCTAATTGAAATTATCCTTTAATTCTCACCTCAGTCCTCACGCCGCTCCCAACTATCTTCTCTGCTTTTTGCTTTTGTCCCACCAACACCATCCTCGATTCTCTGTCAACCACCACCCATGCTGCCTCTTCCTCTCCGCCGAGCACCAGTGCGGCCCTCTTCTTCTCCGTCGAGCACCAGCACTACCTCCGTCATTCTCTCCGCCTTGCTCCGTCAGCATCGACCTCTTTCTCTCCACCGAAAACCAGCCCCGCCGCCCTCGTTCTCTACGCCGAGCACCAGCCCCGCCGCCCTCCTCTCCATCGAGCTCCTGCCACGCCGCTCTCATTCTCTCGACGAGCACCAGCTCTGACGCCCTTTATTCTGTTTTCATTTTTTTTCTTTTTTAAATCTAGAAATTTCGAGAAAAAATGAAAATTTTCCGAAACACCCAAATCCGATCCGATCCTTCCGATTTCTACCCCTAGTTATGGCGGACGGCGTCTATGGTGGATGTGGTTGCAGATCTAGGGTTTCGTTTTTTTATGAGGGTGAATGACTATGAACAATTATGGATTACTTCGAGTGTCTATGTGACTGACGACTTGGATTTCAAAGGGGAACTTAGTGTTTTCAAATTGTTTTAATATTATGTAGAAAAAAAAACGAAAAATACAGATTTTTATAATACTGAAAAATACTCAAATGAAAAAGAAAAAAATAATCGCGTTCTACGTACAAAAAAAATTGTTCGATGCAAAAATGAAAATGTTAAATCCATAATAAATAAAATAATGAATATAGTTTAAATATTACTTGGTGTGGATTTCATTTGTTGTGTGTGGAGGGCATTTTTTGAATGGATTTTATAAAGGATGTGAAGTAAATTATTTAGTTTAGCTTGTCATTTGGATGTGGTATGGGGTTTTTGTGCATAAGTCCACAACCAAGCATCTTTATTATTCTAGGTTTATGTGATATATCTCTTTCACCAATAAGCCCATCCCGTTAATATTTATTATAAATAAAGGAAACATTCATGTACACGACAATATAACCTAACCATTTATATCCAATTCTTAATTGTAACCCCAATTTAATCAATTTTGTCCACAAAAATCCAATTTTGACCACAAAAATCCAATTTTGCCGCAGGATTCCAGCGTTGACCGGCGTTGACTTTTCGGTTTTATTTTTTATTTTTTTTTCTCCTGGATTTTTTCGCCGGTTTCCGGCCTTGACTTTTTTTTTTTCCTGGTCTATTTTTTTCCGCCGCCGGATTACGGCGTTGATTTTTTTTAATGTTTTATTTTTTTATTTTTTTTACGTCCGCCACTAAACGTTGACCGTAATTGTGCTGTCAATGACAGTAAATTTACGTAATTATACTGTCAATGACAGTTAATTAACGTTATTGCATTGCCGTTGACAATACATTTATGTAATTATTCTGCCGTTGACAGTAAATTAACGTAATATTATTGTTTTTTTATTTTTTGTTAATTTTTTTTATTTTGTTTGATTTGTTGACAAGTCAACGTAATTATATTACTGTCGTTGACAGTAAAATAACTGTAAACACAATAATATTACTGTCAACAACATCAATATTGATATTATTTTTAGGATTTTTTTTTTGTTTGAGTTATTCACGGAGTAACGTAATAATATTACTATCTATTATGTTAATATTGCTGTAAACACAATAATATTACTGTCGTTGACGGTAATATTACTGTTGTTATAGTAATATTGTTGTCAACCACATAATATTATTATTTTGTTTGGATTTTTTTGTTTGCTTGAGTTATTTACGGAGTAACGTAATAATATTACTGTCTATTATTGTAATATTATTGTGGTTGACGGTAATATTACTGTTGTTATAGTAATATTACTGTCCCTCACATTAATATTAATTATTTTGGTTTTTTATTATATTTACATTTGTTGAACGGTCAACATAGTAATATTACTCTATTACACAATAATAATGAGTTTTGTTGTGTTAATATTACTGTGCTAGAGTTTAATATAGTAATATTAATGTGTTAAATTGTAGTTTAGTTAATTTAACAGTAATATAGTTAATATTACTGTCAATCAAAACAGTATTGATGTTTAGATATTTCAAATATTTTCAGCTCATTCAAACATATTTCGCATAAGGAAAGGAAAACCCTTTTATATATACCAAAATTACCTTTAATTCCTTGAAACTCAATTCAACTTCAATTTCATGATTTACACTCCAAATTAGCCAAATTTCACCAATTAACCAATTTTGACCAAAAAAAATTTTTGACCCGCCACCACCGGAGACCGCCGGTAAGACTCTTTTCTTTTCTTTTTTTTTCTTAAAAAAATATTTTAATTAATATTACTGTCTTGGCTGCTAAATTACTGTCTCCAGTAGTTATTTAACTGCCGGAGACAGTATTAACAGTTAATTGACTTTATTTTTTATTTTTTATTACTGTCTTGGCTGCTAAATTATTGTCTCCAACAGTAATTTAACTGTCGGAGACAGTAATTCAACTGTTAATGGATTTTTTTTTTAAAAAGAAATTCTTACAAAAAAATATTTTAATTAATATTACAGTCTTGCAGTATTACTGTCTCCAACAGTAATTTAACTGTCTCAGACAGTAATTTTACTCTATTAATTAATTTTATCGTCTTGTCCTGCAATTTTGTTGTATTCGACCGTAATATTACTGTCTCATACAATAATATTACTGTTTGGGACAATAATATTAGTATTTTTTTGTTCGAAAAAATAATATTCATAATATTACTGTCCCAAACAGTAATATTACTGTCTTAGACATTAATTTAGCAGCTAAGACAGTAATATTAATTAAAATATTTTTTTCTTAGGAAACAAAATCAAGAAATAAAAGTCAACGGCGGTTGACTGTCCGAAAAAAAATTCAGAAAAAAAAAAAGATAAAAAAGGTCAACGCTGGAGAACCGCACGGTCAATGCCGGAATCTGGCCGGAAAAATATTTTCAACAAAAATATTATTTTCTGAAAAAAAAAAATTATATTTTTTCAAAAAAATATTAATATGGGGATTAATGTGATATATTTGTTTAAATCCGGGGTCAATGTGCAATATTGAGAAAGTTAAAGTATAATGGATGAAATTGGTAAAAATTATATTATGGAGGATATTTTAGACTAAAAACATGAAGATGAGTTTATTTGAAAAACTATTTTTTTTTATCAATATACATTTAAGTCCCTCGTCATATCCCTCTTCTCCATTTGCCCTAATTTTATTAATTAATGTGTTTAAACTTCAAGTAGACTTCAATGCTATAGGTCATTCATTACTCGTACTAAAAATATAGTAGAGAAGTCTCATTGCATGTTTCACATGCATGGCATAATACTTTCACATATAGTTGAAGTAACACTATTAGTTATACCCTATTTCCCGAAAGCAAAGTATCTTTCCAACTCTCTATATATATGTATACACTAATCAGCTGCATAAATGATAAAACACACACACACACACAAAAAAAACAAAAAACAAAAAATCCCATAAAAAAAATAAAATAAATGCCTTCTCCCAACTCAATGCTCCGTTCAGTCAACAGTGAGGAAAGATGGACAACAGAAATGTTTAGGTCTTTTCCAGCAGAGGAAGAAGGGATCCACATAAACCTCAACCTCCCTCCATGCGTGTTTAGGGTTCCGACAAGCTTCGTCGAAACAAAGCCCGACGCGTACGTACCCCACCACGTCGGCCTTGGCCCGTACCACCATCTCCGTCCCGATCTCTACACCGCCCAACGGAGAAAACTCGCTGTCGTAGCTAAGTTGCACCCGCGGATCAATTTACGCGCCGTTGCCGAGGGTATCGCCAAATGGGAGCCTTTTATCCGGCAATGCCACGACGAGTACCTCGACTTCGACCCCCAAACCCTGGCTTGGATCTTGGCCGTTGATGCCTTTTACTTGGTAAATTTTCTTAACAATTATTCTGTCGCGACGAGTAATAATAAGGCCGAAACAGAAAAATTAGCAGGCGATGTTTTGATGCTCGAGAACCAAATCCCTTCCCTTATAATTGCCGGAATCTTCTACCATTTAGTCGCACCGGGAGACGACGAGGTGCGGCGCCTGTTGGAGCTAGAAAGATTCCACATATTCTGCTGGGATGTGTCGCCGCTCCCGGTGCCGCTGCTGGGAGTAGGACCGGGGGTGGTCGCCGAGGCCATGTTAGAAGGGCACCTGCTAAAATTGATGTATTATTTCATTGTGAACTGCACGATTGTTCGTCTCGATTCCCCGATTTTTATGGCACATGTTGACAATCCAGGCTTTGTTCTGGCCGAAAATCTGAAGATGGGTGTTGATGCTGCGGCGGGGGTAGGTGTTCCGGGGGCGGCGATCGTCCAGCAGCTCGTGTCGCTAGCGGAGAAGGTGCCGTGGGACTCTGTCTTAGCTCTTTTCAAGAAAGGCGACCCCGACGGAAAAAGCCCTTCGTTGTTAGTCGAGGAGATTGATATCCCTTGCGTTTCGCAGCTTGTCGATCTTGCGGGGATTCGGTTTTCGGTCGTTCCTGGAGGAATAAGGGAATTCAAGTACGACGTGGAGGAGAAGAAATTCTATCTCCCGAAAATCAACATCAAGTCGAATTCCGAGGTCGTTTTGAGGAACTTGTTGGCGTACGAAGCGGCCGCAAAACCAGGTGGACCCGATGTTCTAGAACTGGCGGAGTTTGTGGATTTGATGTGTGGCATTATCGACACTCCAAGAGATGTGGAGATTCTGAGGAAGGAGGAAATTATTGTGAGCGATCTTACCGATGAGGAGATCGCTCCCATTTTTAACGGGATAAAGAGATCGACGGGGAATAAGGAGAAAAAGACGACCGATATTGAGAAGGCTGTGGAGAAAGTGAATGTGGAGTACGGTAATGTGCCGAAGGTTAAGGTGTATAGATTGATGAAGAAATACGTTTACGGTTCGTGGAAGTTTCTTACGGTTTTTTCGATGGTGATTGTTGTGCTGCTGCTTTTGTTGCAGGCTTTCTGTTTGGTCTATGGTTGCAGTAAGCATTGGTTCAAATAAAGAAGAAGAGTGTGAGATTAGTTGTGGAGTTGTATTATAAGTTCTGAGTTGTTTTGAGTCTTTATTAATAATATGTTTTTACATAGGAAATAAATATATGTACTTGTGCTCCTCGTGCCAGTTGCATTTGATTATTGTGTGTTTGTTGATGTACAATAAATGTGTTGTGAGTTTTAATTTTTATCCTTAGTTTGCACTTTGCAGTACTACTAATAAAACATTTGTGATGCGGCTCAAAACTCACTTCGAGAAATCTCGAATCGTTGAGTACATTTTATCTTGGGCACAATCATCATGGATCTGAAAAAGGGGCCGTGAGAGATGCTCTCGGCATTAGCACTATAACGCCCAAGTTCGAACACCTCAATGATTCAGATAATTCGGGAAATAAGAGAGGAAAAATGTTGACGTCAAGATGTACCTACCTTCAGTGTTATGAACCCTCTTTCTATAGAAGAAGCCTTTCGTATGCCATTGCTTTTTATCTAATTCGATTAATTGAGTCATTCAAATTCATGACACTATATAAATCTTAGTGCTTAAGTTACCAAAATATTTTCTATGCCTAGTGCATATGTCATTAGGTGGCACCTGCTATGTTCAACTCGTTACTCGAGGCTCGTCAGCTAGTCTCAGCTTATCACTCGTCACTCGCCATCTACCTTCAGCTCGTCACTCGTCAACTACTCTTAGTTAGTCAATCGTCGCTTGTTAGCTACCTCCAGCTCGTCACTCGTCATCTACTCTTAGTTCAATCGTCGCTTGTAAGCTACCTTCAGCTCGTCAGCTACTCTTAGTTCTTCAAACACCTCTTAGGTCTCCAGCTAGTCGGAGAACTTCTAACTCAGCGGAGAGCTCTTAGGTCTCTAGCTCGTCGGAGAACTCCTACTTCGTCATACAACTCTTAGGTCTTCTAAGTCGTTAGAGAGCTCTTAGGTCTACAGCTCGTCTCTTCTCACAATGTCTTCTATTCTTTGGACCCATAAGTATACACTTTTGGGCTTACCATATCTCAATGTTTTAGGTCGTTTATTAAAGTCCAATGAAATGGGCAAATGAGTCCGGATCCCATGTGGTCTTATATCCTCTTTTGGGCATGGGCCAACTCTATTGGGCTTTCCTTAGGTCCTGCTAAATCTGGTCGAATCAGTTTGTTACTTAATGGTTTCATAAATTGAGCAATATTTGAGGCCTATTATAAATTAAAATCTCAAGACTGGTTAAAGTGGTTAGTGTTTAATAAATAACAAATACACAATTGGGGCCGAGTCAAAATTAGGTGGGTGACACAGTAAGATATTCGTCGGAAAAGGTGGGGTGTGGCCACAAGACCGATTGACAGCGGAAACTACCGGAAAGTAGGTGGGCGGCAACGGAAAGGGGCAAATCTAGGTTGTTGGTAGATGTGGTCATTGTAATGGTCTGGCTCATGCTCTTGCGAATTTCGGAATCTTGCATGTATCGGAGGTTCGACCCTTCCCCCTATTTGGCTTTTACGACCTAATAAATCATCATTTATCATCCTAAAAAAACAAAATTGACATCAAAGATTACAAAAATCAAAGTTACAAAAATGATTTTATGACAGTTCAATAAGCACTCTATTCCAAAATATTACAAAAATCGACGTTATTAAAAAGATACGAGTTCTTATCACTCTAGTGATATAGTATAAAATTTTCGATGCAAGGGACAATTAAATTCAAGAATCAGATTAATTATTACTAAGTGAAGAAGCTTGTTTGAATATGCTATACTTTGTCTATCAAATCAAAGAGGTCGTCTCCAATTCCAAATCCAAGCATCCGGGCCATGTCTTTAGCCTTCAATCGAGGCATCGGGATATCGTTCTCCTTCAACCATTTGTACACTACAAACACTTTCTGCACCACAAACAATTCCAGCGCCTCCGGGTTGAAAACCACCCCCATTCGCATACTCATCTGTCGAAAACAATTTTTATTTTTTATTTTTTTAGATATATGTTTTTAATTGAACAAAATTATGAATCAAGTAGATATATATATCTATAGATACATACCTGGTGGGGTACAAGCATGGCAGCATAACGTGCAAGCTCCCCTGCTCTCCAGTCCAACACAACAGGGAGCCATGGGTACATAGCATCCACTCTAACAAACCACAGCCTTATATCTGGATATTCCGATAGTTCTCGTGGATCGTTCTCGTCTTCTCTACGGTAATTTATCGTAAATCCGATTGTGCGCTCCAATAACTCCTTCGGCTTCACTATAATCCATTAATAATATTGTTCATCCAATAATAGTATAGCTATATTTATATTTATCCATGTGATTTAAGCTAGGGTAAATTACGGGCACCCCTCAGGTAGGACTAAATAACTTATAAACTCCTGCGCGGTATTGGTAGTTACAAAAATCCTGAAACTAACAACCATTTTTACAAACCCTAACGGAATGAATGAATTGTCTAAATTACCCTTTTTATTAAACAAATAAAATATGGGTAAATTACTTGTAGCCATGAGGGAAGACAAAATATTACATGTTACATTTACCCTCGGCTAGGGGTAAATTTGGAAATTCATAATGAATATTCTTTGAAATCATCAAAATTACATTACTCATAGCTCTGCAAGGGTTTAACTGTAAAACGGAGAAATAGCTATGGCGAGTATTTGTAATTATCAATACGATAGGAGTTTGTACGTAAGTTATGTAGTCTTACCTCTGGGAGGTACCTACACGTAATTTACCCTTTAATCTAATTGAATTTCCGAAAAGAATGATGGCTCAAATTCAATTTATTCGGCGAACAATTCATACCCGAGTTTGAGGAGGTTATTCCGGTGGCGGAATGAAAAGGGGATAAATCGAGACGAGCAATGATGTCGTTGTCGATGACTACTTCGTAACGGCCTTCCTTTGGAGGCATTGGTGGAGCTGGTTTCCCTGCATCTGTTATAATAATACACAAAAATCCTACTACCTTAAAATATTGTCATAAAATTACCATATGTGCTACAAAAATAAATAAAAATAATTAATTATAAAGAAAATAATGATAATGTATGTACCTTGGTCTTGGTCGTAGAGAGAGAGGTCCAAGTTCCCGGATGGATTGAATGACACAGAAACAGCAACTTGCCTAAGGGACTGTTTGGAATGAAAGAATTCAGAGGAAGAAAAATGGAATTCGGAGTAAGATTTGGGGGTTTGAAATGAACAATATTGTTTGAGTGGACAAGAAAGTGGATAAAGATTTCGTATAACTGAAGTCATTTTGGTGCAGCAGAAGAACAAGAGGTGTTTGTTCGTTCCCTTTTTTTCTTTTACTTGTCCTTTTTGTTTTTTGTGTCACATTAGAATTGTTATCTAAGATTATGCTCTCCTCCTTTTTTTATTTTTTTTTTTTTTTTTTTTTTCTATTGGGTGCAATTGGAGTTGGAAATTGGAAGGAAACTTCGAATTCTGGCTATTCTAATTCGAAATTTTCCGCTTTTGTAACATTTTTCTTTTAATGCGACTCTGAAAGTTTTAATTTCTGTTTTCTTTTTTTACTTTTTTTAACATAATTGGAATATGTATTAGATTCAATTTTTCAATCTGAATTTATTTTTTGAAATTACAACTACTCTTCCGAAAATGGACACTTTGATATAACTCAGCAATACTTCTTGTAAAAAGTAGAGACTCGGACTATTTTGCACCATCTGAGAAAAGTGTCTTGCTAATTTCACCCCACCATTTTTTTCAATTATGCCCTTCTACCTCATTATCCTAATACCAATTATGTCCCTGCTACCTCATCAATCGTTTTTTAATTTTTTTTATTCTTTTAGTTTTTAATCTTTTTTAATTTTTTTTAACTTTTTTTTCTTTATCAGTTATATTAATCGACTATGAGATATAAGTATAATCCATTAAGAAACTGACTACTAAAAAAAATACAACTATGTAAACACGAAATTGACTATATTTTTATTTAACAAATAATAATACATAAATTGTAATTGATTTATACACATTGGAATGAATTAAAAAAATGAAACCAAATAACATAATCGATTACCAAAACAGTCGATTAACACTTTAATCGATTACTAAAACATACTCGATTAACTTAATCGACTACCGAAAAACACACAGTCGATTAAGGGTCCTGCCTGCGCGAATTTCTCTACACGCACCGTCCTCAGCCGAATCTACCAAAAAACCCTAGATCTGCTCCTTGTTGTCACCACGCCGCCGCTACGCCACACCATCACCACCACTTCCATATTCTGATGGTTTTTAATGACAAATAAAGTAAATTATAACCCGCACCACCAACCCAAACAAAGCCACCACCATCAAAACCACCAAAACAAAGCCACCCAAACCCAATTTTCTTCATGACCACCGTCATATCCAGAAATAGGCAGCAAAAATCAAATTAAAAATGCATAACCTGCGGTGACGAAGAAGAAATCTTCACAAAATCGAAACGAAAAACAATCAGACGTCTCTACTACTGACCAACAATTGAAACGAGAAACAAAATTAACCATGAACAAATCGCCGGAATCATACCGCAAAAACCGACTTAGAAACAAATATGGAAGAATTAATCGAAATTGAGAAACAAATCAGTGGAAGATTCTACCTTATTTGAAAATTGGGGTGAACTGTGAAGATTGGAGGGGCAAAGTAGAGAACCGTAGGCCCAAATCGGATAAACTCTGAACATAGAGAGAGAAGAAAAACAAAAGGTATGATATATAATTAGGGTTAAAATAGTTATAATCAAATAAGGGTAGTTTTGGAATGATGAAAATATCATTATAATGTAATATTAGCTAAGGGGTTTCTATCTAATTATTTTAGGAATGGAGTGTTTCCTTAACAACATTTCCTAGATGGGAGGTTCTTGCTAATTTTCTATTCCGAAAATTACACTTATAATATCATTATTGTTAGGGGCTATTAGTGAGAACCCCTCTCACATTTTTTTAATAAGGATGGATCCAATCTCTTTTTCTTTATTAGTGATAGATCCAGTTTCTTTTAATTTACAAATTTGCCCTTCCGTACTATTTACTACACGTTACACATCGATTGATGCCTTTTTCTTTCCTTTTTTTCTTTTAATTTTATTTTCGTTTTATTTATTTAAAAATAATATTTTTTTCGAATATTTTTAAAAATACTTTTTTAATATTTTCTTTTTCAGTAATTTTTTTTTCTTCGGTTTTTCAATTATCCCTTATTATTAGGTACTATATATTATAGTTTTCAGAACTTTGGAATCCCCTTCAAATAAATCCGATTTTAGAGTAATTTTTATCGATCCAATTTCACAAATTTAGATTTTAGAATTTTTTGATTTTTTTAAGAACAACACTGAATAAGTTTCTTCTTTTGATTTTTTTTTCAGTGTTAATTTGGATCAGTTGGATTCGGGCCCAATTGCCCTATTAAGTAAAAAGTCTAGCGAGAAGCCCAAATGATATAAGTCCAAGGTCCATGGTGCGACTGGTCGCTACTAAACCCATCAACTTCCCCCACGTGAGATAAACGGCTGACAGATGAGACTATCTTTACTGCTTAAAGTAGAAAGCCTGCAATTACAAGGATATGAAGACCACCCACTTGGAATCCAAGAACGGGGCGACCTCAATAGCGATCTCCCTTCTCGAAGCGTGAGCCCTCATCTTACACAGTCGAGGAAGATCGCTGCTCAAAACAAGGCCTTCCCACTGGCACACAAATAGCCAAGGGAGGTCACACACCCCCACATGAGGGTATGGCCAAAAGTGAAAGAGGACCCAACCATCTCACCTAGCATGCACCTTTGAGGTACAAAGTTGTCACCACAATATGCATATATAACTCTTTATATATACATATCTCAACCGATATTCCGACTAATTTGATATACCTTTTTTTTTTTTTTTTTTCCGGCGACGGGTCATTAAATTTCGGATTAGTTGACTTGCATTAGCTGACCATGTATTAACGGATGTCCAACTTGTTTTCTTTTAACTTTTTTTTTCGGTAACGGGAAATCCAGGCTCTGATTAACTAACTATGCATTAGTTAAGTTCGCATTAATTGACTTTGCATTAGCTAACATTCGGCCTTTTTTTTAACTCGTTTCTTTTTTTTTTTTTTTTTTGTGGCGGGTATGTAGGGCTCTAATTAGTTGACACCCGATTGTTTTAGTGTTGAAGTCAGCTAATCGTATCTTGGATGATTCGCCATCGGGAAAGGAAGAAAAAAAGGTCGAATGTAAACTAATGTTGAAGTTAACTAATGTCGAATCAGCTAATCAACCGGAGATCCAACGACCCGCCGCCAGAGAAAAAAAAAGGATATAAAAAAATGTTGACTAATGTTAAAGTTAATTAATGTTGAAGTTAACTAATGTTAAGTCAGCAAATCGGAGCTTCGATGACCCACCACCGGAAAAATATAAAAGTAAAAAAATATAAAAGAAAAAACTCTTGATGGGAAGAACTCTTGATGCACAAATGTGGGGTGCAAACAAATTAAAACACATGTTTCACAACAAAGAAAATAGAATAAAGACAAGTAGAAACATATATTATACATATCCATTACAGTACTGCTGTACTTCCTTAACACTAATATTCTCCTATATTTTACATTAAAAAGGCTACTAATTAATTAACTAATACGCACTTCATTAATGAGTGCTTATGATTTGAACATAACTAATGATCTAAGAATCATAAAAAAATTAATAATAATAATATGTACAAAATCTTCCTAATTAGTGGCAGCATTCCTGTAATGCTGTCCAACATTCTATTCCCCCTTTTCTTCTTCTTTTTTTATTTTTTATTTTTTTATTTTTTATTTTTTATTTTAGTCTAATTAATTATGTACTGGAGACTTTCTTCTTGCTAGTGAGTAATCCATCCCAGCTATATCGACAATTTCCTTGTACGTTTTCGACGACGAATTAACGGAGACACTATTTTCTTCTTTTCTTCCTACATTTTCGTTAATGGAAGAGTCTTTCGATTCGGGTCGAGCTTTGGTTTCTGCATTCCCGTCATTCTGTACATTAACCGTGAAAAATCATGTTAAGGTTTTCTTTTTTTTTTTTTAATTTCAAATCTTTAAAATTCAAGAAAATATTAATTAATGCACATTAATTAGCCTAATCATGCATGTAATTTAATTATATTGTAGACCAACCTTAGAAATGGCCGCAGTTCTAGAGATAGGGATCTTTGTAATTAGTTTTCTAATCCATCCTGCAAACAATTATATATATGTATTGTATGATTAATTAAAACAGTAATTAATTAAGTAAATATTTATAGAAATATCTAACATTTTTTTTAAACTATGTGTTTCATTCAGTGTGACCAAACGAAAGTTACAACTCGAACAAACGGGACGAATCGCAGTACTCCGTACTCGTCGTGGACCACTGACTAATAAGTAAAAGACTCATACTACAAAAATTGAATGGTTATGATATTTGTGCTAGCTGTAATGAAACCTCAAAAATGATAAACTAATTGAACTGTCTGAAATTAGGAGGGGTAATTAAGTAAATTCTAGCTAATAATTGATAATTAAAGAGTGATTATTAATTAATGGTGTTTAGGTCTGTGAATTCTTGGTCCGTAGTAATCTTCATGGAATCTTGGAAACAAATGGTGGGATCCCTTTTGTGCCCTAGATAATTTTCTCTTCTTCTTACCTGATGACTTATTATTAACTCCTTCATTAAGGTTTCTCTTCCCATGAACAACTTCCTGCTCAACAGAAAAAATAAAATTGATATATTTAATTATATTTCTAATATTTTGTTTAATTTAATTATATGAGAATAAATTTGATCCAATCAAATTTAATAAAATCATTCTTACATTGATGGTGTGCTGCCTGACTGCTGATGCAGATCCTTTACTCATCCTTATACCTGCAAGAAAAGTAATTAAATTAAACAAAATATCATGAATGTAATTAAAAAGTGTATAGTATAAATTAAAACAAATACTTGATTATTAGTATTTTCGGAGAGTAAATTGTGAGAAAATTGAAAATCTTGTGTTATTTTGAATTGTTTAAAAACTCCCTCGTTGTTAATATTAGCGAAAATCTACATATGATACATCTTTTTTAGCACACAACCCCTTGTACTGTCAGCTTTTAGGGGAGGGTTTTGTAAAAAGAAAAAAAAATCGAATCGTAAAAATAATACGATTTTTTTATTTTTTTTTTACAATTCGAACGTATAGCGTTGTATGCAGTAAACGTTATTGTTGGACGACGTACCTTGAGCTTCATGAATAAGAATTGACAAGAGTAGCAAAAACATGAGCATCCATTTCCTCATTATTACAATAACTGCTTGTTTCTGTAATAGAAAGAACAATTATAATTTTATGGGACGACAATAAAAATAGAGACAGAATTTATGAGAATGGAATATGAAACTTGTTTGAGTTATTAATAGAAGAAGTGGTCTTGCTGATATATATATATCATCTCACACATACACACAATATACTAAAGAAAAATAATAAAAGAAAAAAAAAACATAAGGGCCCATTTTAATTCTTGTTGGCATCATATTAAATGCCACATGGAGTTGTATTTTTATGTTTCAACTCTCACTTTTTGGTTGCTATTTGTTTGTCTTCTTGCAAAAAGTGACACTAAAAAATGATTAGAGATTTCTACATAAAAAGGTTTAATTAAATAATGGGGTTAATTAATAATAATGGGGTTTGAGAATGATAGTAATAGGGGAACATAAAAGAACTGTCCTCAGAGAATGAGGGTTTCCATTTTCTTGAAATTTGTAAAAAATATATATAGACAAAATAGTTTGAAATTAGAAGATAGTGTGGAGAAGTGGCGAGTTTGTCTGTCTCTCTTTGAACAACCTTGGAACTAAGCACCAACAAAATCAAAGGACAAAATATACCTAATTCATGGTAATAATATATATGAGTTGTATGTATGGTGAAGCACAAATTTTTATTGATTTTATTATTTCCTTTGGTTTAAAACAAGTGAGAGATCAACCTAGACGTGCAATGTAATTGCACATGTACCTACTGCATTTAATACAATGGACATGCAATGTAATTACATCTAACCCAGTGTGATGGGATCAGTTTGGCAAGCTTGGGTCAAACTCCCCATATTGGACTTATTAAATAGTATAAGGATAAATGTATGGGCCGAAAGAGATTTGTTGGGCCCATTAACCCAATACACGTCAAAGATAAGGTCCCTTTAGAAGCTCGCGGTTAACGAGCTCGCCTGCCCATCCGGTTGAATGTGCCAGAGTCAAATCAACGAGATAGGTGGCGGAGCTGAGAAGAGTCATTAGATGCAGAAGACTCGGAGATATCTTTTCTAAATAGATAAGAAAAGTATGTAAATAAGTATTCGTAATGGTCAATCAATGTAAATCTCGACCTAATTAAGGCGAGTTAAACTATGAAGCAATTAGAGAGATCTTTCTATATAAAGTCTTGTAACAAGTCCGATTAAGGACACGATTGAATATCAATAAAGAATACGTTATACTCTCTTCCAAACTCTCTCTCTCTCTTTTAATATTTATATTTTCCGTTCGTCGAATTCATCTTCTCCGGCAAAGGACCGGTGTTCGGTGGGTTTTCCAGCGGTCAAAGGAGTTGGGCTTAGAAGGAGGTCTTGAGGGTGTAGATCCTACACCATCACAGTGCATGCGGTTTGAATAGCTAATTTTCAAAAC